AACAAATTGGTAAAATATTTCGGAACTTATATGCTTTGTTATTGAAAAGAATCCACATTTTTAACATACTCAGTGGTGTAGGGTATCATAAGGTCGGCCATGCCCGAGTATACTTTCCTACTTTTTTTTTTTTTCTCTAAAAATAAGGTAATAACCAACAAACGGTAGAATTTTTTTGTAAATATATAACATTTGGCTACAAAAGTCGAAAAATATTATCAGTTATAGGCTGTTAACATGTGAGCATCGGTTTTTTAGGTTGTGTTGATCATTTACCGCCATAATTTGAAACCGTAAGTCTCTAGAGTTTAAATGAAAATAGAAAAAAGCTTATTTTCTGCTATAGCAGGTTTTATATTCTTGCTATTGGACAGGTTAATTTTAGATACACATATATTCTATATTTATTTGCAAAAAAAGTCTAGTTTAAATAAACTATAAAAATTTGCCATTTCATATGATTCCAAATGGCGCCTCTGTCGTTCTAGAAGAGTTATTTGACTTGTAAATTATAAAAAATTTAAACAAATTATCTGTGTTTTCAACCCCTAAGAAACCACATTAATGTTGTTTTATTCATAAATGTGCTCGCTCATATTGCTACCATTTTTTAAAATAAAATTATTTATGAATATTTATGAATACAAATTAAATAAAATACATAACTATATAATACTATAGGTGTGTTTGTATCTACACACATACATACGTACATATGTATGTATGTAAGTATTTGTATCTCTTCTTATGATGCCACTGTAAAACTATATAAATTTCACTAATTATAATTTTGTCTCGTGTTTTGCTTTTCTTGTTTCTTATAAAAGATAATTACTGGTCATACAGTAAGAAACACACAGGCATATATACAGACATATATACCTACAGATGTATGTATATAAATATGAAACCAAACCGAAAAAAAGACACCATCATCAAGAGCTACGATGACCACTAGTAAATCGAGAATAATTATCAAAATTACAAAGCAACCACAAAACATTCAGTCACCAATCCATCCAACTACTAAAACAACCCAGAAACTCTGAAACTAAACTGGAAAAAATCCACCTTAAGGGGGACTCCAGAAAAAATCCCAATATGTAAAAGTTTTTCCTTACATACAAGCATTTAAGCAACTAACTAAAGTAACAACTAGCATGCATGACTTGCAACATGAGGCAGCAACAGAACCAACATTAAATATGAGATCAAGATCCAAACTAAGAAAAGAACAAAAAAAGGCACAAAACTGGACAAAAGATAAAAATTTAAGAAACAACAAAAACAACATTAAGCCTTAGGGAATTTAATCAAGTAAAGGTAGTTGGTAGGGGCTTATGGAGGGAGGGATGGTAGTTATAAGGTTCCCAAAAGCTGTTTAGCTAAGAGAGTAGAGCTTAAATGGTGACGTAGAGTCGGTGTATGTTTATTTAAGATCACAACAACAAAATGGACTTAATTAGTCTTGGACACAGACTCAAAGATAAAATTGTATATGAATTTGTTACACAAAGATGAGAAGAAATACCAAAAATTAAAAATATGTTCAAAACTTAAGAAAAAAAAGTAAGGAAAGAAAGAGTTAAAAACAAAATGGGAGATGCTGCTAAAGAGAATTCAAGAGCTGGTCTTTTGAAAGGTTTTTTTTTTGTTGTTGTTGCTTTTGGTTAAGTAAAGTGCTAGGTGCTTGATGCTGTTGTTGCTAGTAGAGGAGAGTAAGTTAGTTTATCCACATTGTACTCGTTTAGAGGTTTGTCAGGTTTTTTATTTTTTTTTTGTTAATGTTTTTCTTCTTGATTTTTAGGTTTTTATTGTTGTTGCTATTGTTGGTCTTTCATTGAGGCTGAGTTTTGGTTTTAGCCATAGATTTTTTTCTCGGTTTATTGTTGTTGTTGTTGTTTTTTGCTTACTGGTTACGGCACCACACTGTGTTCGGTGGCAATGACAGTGGCAGCTACAGTTGTATGGTAAACGTGTGTGCGGTTGCTCTATAAGCCGCCAACGTAGAGAATAGTTCATTTAAAATTAACAACAACAACAACAGCAACTACAAACAATTCAGTCAGTCAAACACGCACACTTTAACAACAGCTTAACACATACACTTGTATGTCTATAATCAGAAAAAACAACAACACAGATACAAAACATTGATTCAGAGAGATTTGAAAATTGTATTTCAATATTATCAGTGATGGGTAGCATATATTCTTGGGCATTTTGGTACTATTAGAAAAAAAGTATGTATATATTGGGTACTTCTTTCACCGAATTGGCTTGATATGGGTTGATCTTTAATTTCCTTCGTCCCGAATGTAGTCTTTGCAATCCAGAGCGTCTGTGGGTAATACAGAGCGGATAGTCGAATTATAGTCTACTTTTTACTACGAAATTTGAAGTAGGCATGATGCCACGCCCACATAAAAAATATATATTAAAATTAGCATATCTAAGCTAGAGTTCTCAAATTGTATATGAACAATTTTGACATCCATGTTAACATTTGGGGGCTAAAATGGGCGAACTGTCTATAGTGGGCGGGCACTTCCTTTATATAGAAAATATCAAATTAGTATATCTGAGATATATACTTTAGCTTTAGTATCATTTTGAATATTTAAGATACAAATGGACAAAAAAACTTTTAAGAATAGAATCTTCAAACTTCTTCAATTTTGAAAACCATATCAACTTTTGGGAATAAAATGGACGGACTAGCAATAGGGGTGTGCCATCCCCATATGAATTAGAGCACACGAACAACATTGATACCCCTCTGATAATTTGGGTATTATATTGGGTATTATCCGATCGAAAATGTAATACAACTGCCATGTATGGGCCGGAGCTTCGAAGTCTATTTGAGAGCTACTCGACCGCATACAAGAGAGGGCGAAGGTACTTATCGTTGACAGTAGGGTATCCAACTCAATTGATTCACTGAAGCACCGTCGCAAAGTGGGGTGTATTCCACTCTTCTATCGATACTATAATGGAATGTGTTCCTCTGAAATTAGGGAACTTGTTCCCAATACCCGTATATTTTTACGCAGTACACGACTGTCATCAGGGAAAATTCATTCTTCAGCCGCACTATCCGTATGTGGAACAAACTTCCTGCAGAAGTATCAAAAGTAAATCAAACATCCACAAACACTACACTCTCTAAGGATAGCGAAGCACACCGGGTACCTATAACTAATAATATATAATCCCAGTAAAACGTCGTTACTACTTCTAAAGTGTTAATGGACTTGCTCTTAGAACAAGTCTATGTTAAAATAAGAAACCAGTTTTTCAATAACATCTGTTGTCAAAGTATATACATACGTACGACAATATACAACGTTGCGTTTTCAACATTGCAACATTTCGTTGTCGAAATCTAAATTTTATAAACATCCGTTGTCTAAATGTTAACAAACGTGGTAAGCTCACTATTGGCAACGGATTGTTTGTCATGTATATACTTTGACAACGGATGGTATTGATAAATTATAAACAGTTTGGTGTCAAAAATAACTATAATATGATTCGGAAATAACTCTAAAACGACCAATTATTCGGCTCATTAATGACTCAAAAATGATTAACAAATGAGTCATAATTGAAGTGGGGCTCATAAAAGACTCATTAAGAAGAGTCGCGGGTAGGGTACCATTTTCTCCCGACTAATGTATCATTTATGATCCGAAAATGTGCGCATATATGATCATTTCAATCGTGCAGAAGAGTCATAAATGACTCGAATGTGATCAAAAATTTAAAAAAAATGCTAGCAGGGATAGAGCTGAAAAATTTGTGTGTAGTACTAACCTTGGTGCAAATTTCATCCAAATCGGAAAACATCGAAGTTTTCCAAATTTAATATTTGTGAAAAATTTGCTACTTAGCCTTTTTTGATGATAATTTTCAAGATAGTGCCAGATAATCCAAAATAATAATTCTAAAATTTTGTTTGAAATTTCAAAATCATTTTAAATTTAAAAAAGTTTTTTTGAAAAAATCTTCTTTTAGTACTTTGAATTAGTACCAAATTTGTTGTCAAAAAGTACCATTTCAAAATATATTTGCTAACATTCATACATACATGTTTCAATAAGTAATCCAATATTTTTTTAATGATTATTTTGTTTGATTTTTATTATTTTTAATAGAGTTTTTATTGATTTGCATTAGTTTTTATTAATATATAAAATTTTAATAACTTTTTTCAATGTTGTTTTTATGTTATTTTTAAACAATTTCAATGATTTTTTTCGTCAGTTTTTTAACCAATTTTTTTTTATCACAAATTTCGCTGTTTAAAATTTTTTTTTAAATTTATTAATTAAAAATTCATTTTGTTTGTTAACTTAAAATATTTTTTCTTTTCTTTATATATATATTTTTTTTAAATTTAGACAAAAACAAAAAAAATATAGAAATATATTCAAGAACGAAAAAAACCTGTTCATTTATTTACACGTTTGGAATTTTTTAAAAAGATGCATCGTTGTCTTTCTTTTTTATTATTCTTCGTTAACGTTTTGAAGTTGGAAAAAAAAATAAAACATGGAAGAAGAAAACAAATCATATCACTACTCTTAACAGAGAAAATAAAAGAAAAAAGATCTTAACGATCTTGAGCATAAAACCAACGACAGCGACAAACTCTAGAAAAGACAACATAAATGTTTGAACAACATTAATGCTTTCAGCCAGGCAAACGGGCAGACAAAAGCAAATGACTAAATAAACGTCATAACGATAGACAGACAGACGGAAGGACAGACAAACCGAACGACACACAAGCAGACGGACGGACGGACAGACAAATAGCAAGGCAGAACAACTGATCAATTGTCTGTCAGTTCATACAAACGTGTTATTAACTTTGGTTCATGCCAGCCAGGCCTAGAGAGAACAACGAACCTTTGTATGGCACACAACCAACCAAACAGCCCAACCAACCAACCATCCATTCAGCCAAACAAACAAACAACCAACCAACCTACCCAGCGACCAGGCTGCCATCCATCTAACCAACTTTTATTTTATGTTGAGTTTTTTTGTTTTACTTTTTTCATAATTTTTTTTCTGTTGTAATTTCTGTTCGCTGTACACACGGCAGTTAAAATGTGTTTTTCTACATTTTGTTTTGAAATAGGAGCTGAAGCCAGTGCAGCTACCAAAACGCTCCTCAAGTAGTCCCAATGTCTTCCCACACGCCACAGTATAAAAATTGTAGTCTACGTATATTTTTAACGTTTACTAGAGACACAACACACACACGAACAAACAAACACATAAACACTCTTAAACTCGCTCACATAAACACACACTTAGTTAGAAAATACATATATACAATCTGTCTTACACAGATACATTTTCTAATACAAACTTACTTTTTGTTGTTGTTTTTTTATAATTTTCTTTTTCTTCTATATAATTTTTCCGAGATCATAGATGGATTTTTTTATATTTTTTGATTTTTTTATATATTTTTATAAATTTTCTTGTTTAGATTTTTATTTATTGTAAATTTTTGTTAATAATTCTTTAATTAATTTTTATTTTTTGTTAATTCCTTTCATTAATTGCTTTTTAAATCATTTTTATCATTATATTTTATCAAACATCACTATCACTCATACACACAGATACACCACCATATTTCCCTGTAGTGGTGTATTTTTTATATAAAAAAAAAAAATCATAATATTTTTATCCGTCGTTATTCCGTCTTTTTAAATTTACAGGTGCGTTACCTACGATCAACTCTTTAAGACTAATCCGAGAGTATCTGTGTTTGGGGGGCAATGAGCCTCATTGTTGTACAATGAAACCTTTTTTTGTGCTTCATGTATCTAGATAATTCTTATTCTCATTTGTACGCTCTTATCACAATAACTACGTTCTCTTTTTACTCTCTTCTCCACTCAATACTAACGATCTTTTTTGGTTTGTATCTCCAATAAGTTTTCTGACGTTGTGTTTTTTCATTCTTCACTGTATTTTTGTTCATAATTATACCTGTTTTGTTGGCCGTAAGGTATTTTACTTGCTATGAACTGGTTATTTCAAGAGTGTGCGTGTATCTTTGTCTGTCCGTCATTCGTTTGTTTTTTATCTTCTCTAGAGTAAAACGGTGTGAGCAATAGAGAGGATTGAGTAGGGATTTAAGTACGTTTGAGTTTGTAATACATTTTGTTATTGTACTTCATAGATCATTTTTAAGATACAAGTTCCCGGGTTTTCACCTCTGAGTGTAAAAATAAACCTCCAGACAAGTACATATAATCATAGACTAGTCTATAGTTTAGTCTATAGGTTATTTCATTGAGTAGTCTACGGAATAACTAGTTTACAGATTAGTCCATAGATTTGCTCATAGACTGTTCAAGAGACCATAATCTAGTTCACAGACTAGTTCCGAGACTAGACTACAGATAAGTCCATAGGCTAGTTTACAGTGTAGTCCACAGACTAGTTCAGAGACTAATCCGTAGACTACTTCATAAACTAGTCCACAGATTAGTCCACAGAGTGGTTCACAGTCTAGTCCACAGATTAGTCCTCAGGTTAGTCCACAGACTAATTAGAATATTTCATAGACTAATCCATAGACTAGTTTACAAAAAAGACAACGGAAAGGTCCACAGACTACTCCATAGAATAGTTCACAGTCTAGTCCCTAAACTTTTTAGAATATTTCATAGACTAATCCATAGACTAGTTCACAAAAAAACAACGGAAAGGTCCACAGACTAATCCATAGAATAGTTCACAGACTAGTCCCTAACTTATCAATATACAAGTCCATTGAATAGTTCACAGACAAGTCCATAAAACTAGATTTGCTCATGGACTAGTCCACAGACGAGACCATAATCACAGGACTAGTTCCGAGACTAGACTATAGAAAAGTCCATATGCTAGTCCACGATTAGTCCCCAGATTAGTCAACATGTCAGACTAGTTCATAGACTATTTCATAGACTAATTCACAAAAAAGACAACGGAAACGTCCACAGACTATTCCATAGAATAGTTCACAGACTAGTCCCTAGACTTATCTATATACAAGTCCATAGAATAGCTCACAGACAAGTCCATAGAATAGTTCACAGACAAGTCCATAGAATAGTTCACAGACAAGTCCATAGAATAGTTTCACCCAAAAGTATGCAGAATAGTCCTAATCTTATCAACATAAAGTCCATAGAGTTGTATATAGACTAGTCCATAGTATAGTTCAAAGACTAGTTCACAGATAAGTTCATGGACTAGCCCATATACTACTTCACAGATTAGTCCACAGACTAGTTCACGAAAAAGTAAACAGACTAGTCCATAGAAATAGTGCCTAGAATAGTCCACATATTTGGCCATAGAGCAGTCTGCAGACTAGTACATAAACTAGTTCAGACCAGGCCATAGTCCATAGACTAGTTCACGGAAAAGTATACAGACTAGTCCATAGACAAGTACCTAGAATAGTTCATACGCTAGTCCGTCGACTAGTGCAGAGGCTAAGTCTGTAGACTAGTCCCTAGAATAGTCCAGAGACTAGTCCTTAGAATAGTCCAATAGTTACAGAATTTCTAGAGTTTTAAAGTACTTAAAACGTTTTTAAATTTTAAAATAGAACTAATGTCAAAATGTTAAAGAACCCTCGATAGAAGTTCATGGCCTAGAAGAAAAAACTGTCACAGATATAATCGAGCAACTAGGCCTTTGAGAAAAAATAGAGTTTTTATTATATCTAAAAATCAACCTAACACCTGGTAAGGGGCTAACAGTACAATTTTTCTCCCAACACTCCTCTAAATAACTGAGCAACTTTGATCCGACTACTATTCTATTGGATTTCTCTGAGCTGCTGATGATGATGATTGCCTTGTATTTTAACTACTACTACTAACTAACTGTTCGACTAGATGTTTTTATTTATTTACTTTTTTTTCTTTCTTGGTTCCTACTCTATGGTTTTTATTTGTTGGTGTGTTTGTTCGCCTGGTGCTAGAGTAGTATGTATGTATGTATGTATCTGTAGGTATCTGTGTGTTTGAATGTTTATAAAAATATGGAAAAATACAAATAAACAAATATCTTTGAAAAAAAGAGTAAAAAATCAGTAGGCCATAACGATAGCTTGATAACACTACTTCTTATTATTATTATATTTTTGTTAATAATAATTGTCTGGCATAGGAATATTTTTTTGTTTGTAGAAATTTAGATACACTTTCCATTTTTAGGGAATAACATTTGGCAGATAATTAAATTTTTATAAAAGTTAAAATAAACATAAATATTTATTTAAGACTAATTAGTCTCAAATAAATATCTCTTCTCTATCTACTTTCAGACCTAGATAGAGGTCTGAAAGTATATGTCTATTGCTCATTAGCTATAGATATCATTTTCTGGTCAACTAAGGGAATCGATAATGTAAATTTCTAATATCCTATTATTACTACGATTTCAAAAAGAAATGATGATGATCTGAATATTCAGTGCTGCTAATTGTGATTGAAAACAGCTTTATGTTTTAATTTTGGTCCAGTAGTCATGGGTTGTCCCTTATTAAAGCATATATTTAAACAAACTAACTTTTGCGTTCCATTTTGTCTTGATCACTTCTGATTACAAGGGACTCCGTTTGATATAATCACACCACTCATAAGATAGAGATTATGCCCAAATCGGAACATATGTACATTAGGCTATAACTTTTATATCAATTTTGGGAATTTCAAATCGGCCCTATCCATTCCGAGCGTTAAAAAAGTTTCCGCGGCCAACGTTTCCTCGAATACTGGTAATGAAACAATTTTCTCATCAGCCTTTGAAATTTGGACTGAGTGAAAAAATCTGCTGCAAAGCCAGCCAGGTCATTATATTAAGTGAAAGGGAATATATCAAGGTTTCCAAAACGGCTTTCTTCTCTTCTTTGGGAATTTAGAACATGTATCACAAAATTGAAATTTTTTTATGAAAAAATAAGTCGAATTCGGAAGGGCATTGGAGCTAAGTGTCCAAAAAATAGGAACATGTTTTTTATTCAATATCTTTCAAGAAAAGTTTTATCCCGATCAGACCAGCACAGTACAGGATATCCGATGCAAAGATAATGGATGTCCGATGCAAAGATTGTTCAAGTTTATATCTTCCGATGTCTTCAGCAGTTGCCTTCTTTCGAGCTACGCTGTCAAATTCTCGCTAATATGCCCTGTATGGTGTCGGGAACCCTTAGAGTTGTATACAAGCAACCCATTCTTATGAATTTTTTAGCATAGGACGAGTATAGCAAGGAGAACGATTAGATAAAAATACGAAGAAATATTGAACCGAATTTAAATTGAAGTTTACACGATCCCTTATTGAATTTTATTGGTTATGAAGATATTTATTTCTCTCGACAGCCAGAAGGCAGTTAGGATGATAACAGATAATAGAGTAAATCTAAAACCCGTATTGGATTGTAACAGCGCTCTACCCGAATACTCTCCCAGAGATAAGGTTTACATCAGCGAATGTAATAGCTTTAAAGGGAAGGGAGCTCGAGGTACTTAACCTGACGAACGAAAAACCATTTGACGCAACTAGGGCAGAATTCAAAATATGGATGAGAGAAACCCATAAGGCCTCTTGGACTATTGAGACGGGCGGGTAAAACCACAAAGATTCTATGGAGTGATCCTAACGAGAGTAGTACGAGAAGCCTGCTCAAAATGAGCAAGTCTGAGTTTAGTATGATGATACGTATTCTGAGTGGACCCACAAATTTAGACTTGCGGATTCAAACGAATGTAGAGCGGTGGCGTGTCATAATGTCCAGTGACATAATATCCATGGACATTGTGGCACTTTTAGAAAAGAAATGTATTGGACATTTTTTTCAGAATTTAGGAAAGGGCACTCTTAACACGAAAGTAAATTGATGTTGCGTTTGGATTCCTGAAAAAAAGTGTCCTAGATAGCCCACCTTCGGCTGGTCACAGGGGGTTTAAACTTTGGTGTATTTTGAATATCGGCATCGCTAAATTGAGCTTTTTTCATAAATGGACTCTTTTAAATACATGGACTTTAAGTCATTATGCTCTTAGATATTGTCAAACTTTTGAAATTGTTATAACGTCCATGGACACTATGGATCAGTTTAGTGTGTCATAACAAAACTAGTCGTGTAATGCCTATGGTAGGGTTATACATAAGTTAACCATCTCAGTTGTAATTATCTTTTGACAGAAACACTAGCAATTTTTGTCTTACTGTTTGTTGCTACGTTTTGTTTTAAAAAAAGCCTTTTAACTTTTTTTTTCGTAGATATTTCTTCATTCCAGGTTGAAAATCATCTTTCGCTCTTTTTTTTTCTGAATAATTTTTTGCAGTTTTTTTTATTTTAATGTTGTAGCAGTTTTTTTCTTGGGTTGGCTTGGTTTTTGTTGTTGTTGTGTTGCTGCTGCTTGGCTGCTTTGTATGATTTAACAGTCAGTAGGCACATCAAACTGTAATCTTGCTACCATTTTACTGCAACTGTTGAAAACGTATCTTTATTATAATGTGTAGTATAACTCGGTGTGTATTCAAAAAAATACTATATATTATGGACAGAAACTACTACTACTACTAGTGAAATGAATAAAGATGAAGACAACAACAACAATAAAAGAAATACAGAAGTAATAAAATATTCTATGTTGTGTGAGACGTTTGTTCGTGTGCATGACTGAATGACTGACTGACTGACTCTCTGCATAATATTTATTTGTATCCCA